GTGTCGCACTTGTCTCGCACATTTCTGCGATAGTTCCCCTCTGGACAATCGCCTTGTTTCCCCTAGCATTAATTAAAAAAGTCACTGCTTGAACAATGATTTTTCAATGATAACAAGGAAAAGAAAAAGCTGTGGGAACTAGCAATAATAAAAGTAGACTGATTGTCTCTTGCCAAGAAAGTCAGTCAGTCGAAGTGGCAGTTTGGAAGTTGAAGCATACCAATGTATAGAACTCGAAATGCTGACTTATATTTGCAAAGGTTTCTCCAGTGGAGGTTATGGACTTTTTTGTATTTATTGATGGAAGTGTAGCCCAGGAACCGGAAAACGTACAGATGACCTCAGGCTAAATGTAGGATGTTTACAAGTATTTTAATCAAGCTTCGCACAAACATGGCATTTGGGGGAAACCAATTAAAAAGAATTTTCGTCAACAATTTTGCTCTGATTCTGGTCCTGCTGAATTGCATACCTAATTAAAGCATCGGTTCCCGTAAGGAGTACAGCCCCTAAACTGCTAAAAAATGATGTACAACGTTTCTTTGAAGTTGTATATTTCCACTGATATGCCCATGACTTGGTTCCGCTGGTGAGAGCTTCTTTTTTATCCACCATATCTTAATAGCCACAGTAGATTGTATTTGCCTGTCAGTCAGCTTAATGATCATATTTTCTTTCGTTTGTTAGTGATAAACGTTGATCCTTTCCGCTACAAAAACAACCACCTTTCTAATTTACCTCGACTAAGGTGACCGAATGTTTCACATTCATTGGTTAATTACTGAAACTTTTACATCTTCATCTTTTGTTATGATTGAGAAATCCTCGTTCAGGCAGTGAACTTTCCAATTAATGCTAGGGGAAACAAGGCGATTGTCCGGAGGGGAACTATCGCAGAAATGTGCGAGACAAGTGCGACACAAGCGCGAGGTAGGCGCGAAGCGATTATTGCCTCCCAAGGGCGCGCCTGGAGAAGAAGCGGCGGGCCTTTGGAGGATCCTGCACGTCCTCCCCGGTAACGCGACTCTCTGTGCAAGTAAACGCAGTTTCTCGTTTTTGGTGAATCTCAACAACTTTCATGAACCTCTGAAACTCAATCGCGAACTAAAAAGAGGTCCCGAATTCTGTGGAAATTTACACAAAGATCTCGTTTTTGTGTAAATTTCCACAGCACAAGAAAGGCTACAAAACGCAATTTTTCGATGTTGTTGAAATGTTTCAGAGATATTAATAACTATACTTGCTTCAATCGCATTCACACCGACTTAGTTATGATGTTAACATCTGAGAGTTCGCCCCGGATGACTTCTGCTTTTTTGGTGAAGGTTGTGTTTTCTTGTTTCGCTCAAAGTGAAGGTCATTGGAGTACACGGCTTTATGCTTGGAAGGTATGCGATTATTGCAGATATGGGGGGCCCCCATATTTGCGATAATCGCAGAGTCATTACCTCCCTCCACAACAGTCATGCTCAAAAATGAAATTTGGTCATTCACAAATGCTCATTGTCCAGCAGCAGCAGAATGAATACAATGGTTGGACAGCGCATCAAATAACAGTTCCTGGACAACCCTTGCAAAGTAACTTTCTACCGTTAATACAGTATCTTTACAATGTACCACCAGCAGCAGGGAATCAGTTTGTTTTGTTATTAGTACAATGTAGAATCCTACAAGTAAAAATCGGGAAAGATTTTGGAAATAATTGACAACTGTACGCCCACTGTAACCAGAACATATAGTCTCCATGAGGAATTATGCGTCTCGCCGATTTGATCCGAATCTTGCCCGTTTTTTACTCGAAATTCGTTTGGAAGGAGTTGCGGTGATCGGAGCGAAAGGTTCAGCGGAACGAGCGCAAACTGTAGTGAACTTTGCGTGGTCAATTTCTTTTCTATGAATCATCGATATTATACCATAATTCAACAAGTAAAGACGCACCCTTTTCATTTTTTCTGCAAAGCTCGGGCGCTTCGCCGTACTTCGCAGAAAGATCGCTATGCCACACGTTTTTCAGATAAGAAGCAACACAATAAAGCGTTGCGAAATTTTGATGTGAGGCTGGTCGAGTACAGAAAAAAGTCTATACTAGTGAAATTGGGGCAATGTTCTCATTCTTGCAAGTGGTCATGAATTCCACTTACACGAAAATGCAGATTATAGTAGTAAAAACTCCGTTAGCAGATCGCTCACATAGTTCGTCCAACGGAACCAACACTTAGCACTACTGAACGTTGACCTCTAGATGGTTACCGTCAAAGAGTGGCCCGTAGTACCCCCCCCCCCCCCTTCAATGCAATTCGACTTGGCCGGCCTACGTTGAACGTGGGACGGCTCAGTCCAGTATCCAGTGAGCTTTTGATCTGGATGCGTATTTCTTTCTAGACATAATAATCATGTCTCTCGCTCTTGAAGAGAAAATCTATAGAGCCGGTTTGGTCGAACAGGTAAGTGATTGGAATTGAACGCGCGCGGCCATGGTTCGACTCCGTCGCGACACATCCTTTGCCGCATCGCCGGGCAATCTTTGATAGTGGCCACTATCGCAATCGATGATGACCGCTATCAAGGATTTCGCCTAGCAAATGCACGGATAAACAAAAACACATTTTGTGACAAAAATCTCATGAAAAAGCGGAATGGTTGCAGCGTGAAAATGAAATGAATAAATGAGTTCTCGTTTTAGACAGCAGAAAAAAATAGTAAAGTTTACAAAAAAGAGAAGAACTTGTTTTTTTGTTTTCCTCGCTAAAATCAGCCGTTTATCGATCCTTTCCTTTTCGGGCGCGGTTGTGCAGTTTTGTGCCGGTTTTGTCTGCATTGTTAGGCAAATTGGTGTGTATCGTAAGTTACCCAGGAGCAACTTACGGGAGTCTTCTTTGCGTCTCCTCTTTTACACACTATTTGCATTCCTCTAACATCAGTTCACGATTAGTTCAACTGAACATGAACTGATGTTAGACAAGAGTTGACTGCAGCAGGTAGACGGATAGGCAACTATCAGTGCACTCGCCATGCTTATAGCATGGGAAGGTGGGCGGTCGTCAGTTCACCTGACCTAAGCTCAACTGATGGGTTGAGTTCAGTTCACCTGACTGATCGAGCTTTACTACGGGCCAGTTTTTTCCCTTTATAGCTGCTTTGCACAAGGCTTAGGTTTTGCGGTTTTGCTAGAAAATGCTATTAATGTAATATCTTCAAACTGAGTTGTTACTTTCCAAAACAATCTCTTTCTACTATCTTATATATAAAGCTGAATGTCTGTTTGAATGTCTGTATGTCTGTATGTATGTCTGTCTGTTTGTACGTATGTTCCGAATAGAAAATTCCATTTCTGAACCGATCCGGACCAAACTTGGCACACATACACTACGGGCCCCGGCGGGTGTCATAGGCTACTTTTCGTCATCGATCGATATCGATTTTATCGATTTTTTGCAAAATTTGAGTTACGGGGCTGGGAGTTGGCACAGGGGGTCGGTTAAGAAATGGAATTTTCTATTCGGAACATACGGCGGAGCCGGGTAAGCCAGCTAGTCTTATATATAAAGTTAAATGTGTGTCCTTCTGTACGTATGTGCGGAATAGAAATTTTTATTGCTGAACCGATTTGGACCAAACTTGGCGCACATATACTTCGGGGCAGTGTCATAGGAGCTCTCAGGCAGCGGATAAGACCCCTCCGCCGGAAAAATGGCAGGGTCGCGGCGTTTCCCCAGCGGTGGGTCTCCCATTTGTCCGGTGGAGCCCTCCCATTTCTCCGGCGGAGACCTCCCATTTCTGCTCCGGATACCTCCCATTTTCTGCTCCGGAGACCTCCCATTTTCTGCTCCGGAGCCCCCCGATTTTGTGCGCCGGAGCCCCCCGATTTTGTGCTCCGCAAGTCTGCCGCGGCATACTGTAATTAGCCCTAATTAAAGGCAGCTTCCAGGCAGATCTGGACCTATGGGGCTTTTACATGGAAAGTACTTTTGGGGCCCTAACTAAGGCACTGCCGAAGCAGCAGCTCAGGTAGTGCTCTAATGGCGGAGATATTCCCCTCGAAACAGACCCCCGCGTACGTATTCGCATGGATTCATGGCAGTTTCGCGCCAGGATCCACGCTTTGCGCCATGAATCCATGCGAAACACGGTCGCGGGGTCCAGTTTCGAGCAGAATATCTCAGGCGTTACAGCACTTACCTGAGCTGCCGGTTGGGTAGTGGGTTAGTTAGGGCCCCAAAAGTACTTTCCATGTAAAATCCCCATAGGTCCAGACTTGCCTGGACGCTGCCTTTAAGCTCCAAACCCCAATTTTGTCTCTAAACCCCACCCAAATTAGCCGAATGGGACCCCCCCCCCCCCGGGTAGGAGTTCAGCGCGACCCAAGTTTGCAAACACCCGATTAATAGTTTACTCATGATCGAAGAAAAATTAGCATAATCAAGAATTTGGGCGGAAGTTTTTGGTAGACACAGTTTGAATTAGAACTCGACAAGTAGTTATACGACGTGATAAACGAAATCACCATATTTTACAGAGAATCACAGTTAGAGAATATAGCAAGAGCAACTTGAACAATATTTCGACTACGAGAGCGTCCTACGGCATGACCGATACTTATTGTTAGTAAACAAGAAATACTATACAGATGCCACGACGGTGGGAAGAAAAATGAATGCAGCTGTGATGAGGTAAAGACAAGGGAAGAGTTGAAAGATTTCTGTTCTCTATCAGAAACTATCCTAATGAGCAGGTTCCACGGTACTGCTTACTGCTTGTTCAGTACTGCTCACTGCTTGTTCATTGTCCAGTTTCATTTTCTTTATCTCCTGTCCATTTTCAGATCTTGCTGCTAGCTGAAACATTTATCATTATCTTGACTCCAAACAATCAACTCAATCAAATATTATGAACCGATCCCTGTATCCAAATCACTCGGGATATCATCCAGAAGAAAAAATTCTCATTCTGATACTTCCAAAGTTGTTGGGCCAGCAAAAGCACGATGCTCTTGCACTCCATTACTTAAATGCAACGTTAACACAAATCTCCGCATCTCCAATTTCGAGCGCCTTCTTTGCCATAGCTAGAGCTCCTTCGAATGCCTTGTTACCTCCGATAAACCCTAAATACCACAAAATGAAGAAATTGGCAAAAAATATGAGAAATTTCAAATGTACCTGTCACGTGCACAAATATGCATCCGTCAATGCCGCAGAGATTAGAAAGCTCCTCAACCAGCATTGTAAAATTGCCTAATCTAGTGTGATCTCAAAGCTGCACTATAAATGATGATAGCATGACCTGCGTTACCGTGCTGACTCAAGACATTCCGCGACGCGACTCTCACCGCACAAACGCAGTTGCGCGAGAAACATGCAATCAAAGGTGAAACACAGCATGGGTGATGTCAAACAGCCAACACGTTGACTGCGGTTCACCCAGACTAACCTCCAACAAGATCTATAGCTTGTTGAAACCTCTCATCGGGCTTGGAGTCAGTTTCGTTCCAGTAGGGACTCACATGATTGACACGACCAGAAAGTCCACCAGGGGCGATATGCATCAATCTCCCGTTTTGAAAGCGGGCGATCATTTCCAACACAAAAGAATGCCCGGCCGGGTTGGCCGCAGCTTCGTACATTACGGGTCGGGCGGCCAACCCGGCCGGGCAATCATTTTACTATTGAAAATGATCGCCCGCTTTCAAAACGGGAGATTGATGCATACCGCCTCAGATGTTTGATATTTTCAAAGTCATATGTTGAAGCAGCAAAACCACACAGCCAAATCAATATAGATAGGAAGAAATCAGCATACAATATGTTGATGATTAAAGCATGATTCTCATCCAAAACGTTATTCGAAAAAAAATAAAACTTCAAGCAAGATATAAATGGATACTGACAAGGCTCTTACCTGGGTGTGCCATCATACTGTGGTATGCCGTTATCGATAGCATCTATGGCTTCGACAAACGTTTCGTAAAGCTTTCGAAAAAATATATACACCATCTTATCGTCGTGAAAGGAATCAAGTATCTGACGATAATAAACTAAATAAGAAAGATTAACCCTGACTGACAATGCTTACCTCTGCAATCAGTTGTTTTCCATAATGAGCCTAGATCAATCCAGCTGAACTGAGTCTAGAGTTAGAATCCAGGCCCAAATGTCTGCATCTTCTCATTGAACTCTCTGAAAACAGCACGATTATGGAATTACTAACATTAATTGTGTGATCTTCATGACTGTGGGAGACTCAAACTTAACAGCATGCAAAGCAAGACCTACAATTGGTGATGGTCGTATCGTTTCTTCGAATGATCGTATACACACGTCAACGATAACATCGCACTTGGCAAGTACAGCAGGATCCCGTGTCCTGAAATGTCATGATAATGAAATGATGACATTACGGGTATCCTCAAGATGAATTGTGTGCAATAAAACGTTCAAGTGCGCAAAGATTCTTTGAGTTGGTATAAAGATGTGACGAGAACCTCTATCAAAACAGCAGGCTCTGCGTCCGTATCTATCAACATATATTAAGGATTGAAATATACTTCCAGTGCGCATACTCGTAATCATGCACAAGATAGACACAATCAATTACGCATATTTCGAGCTGCATAAGACACATCTGAGGTATAAATCGATCCAAAAAGCCATCAACCCGCTTACACTACCAAAGGTATAGCCGATTTATCAAATGCACAGACTGGACGTCATTGCGTCCGACCAAGATAATTCGTGCATGGGAGAGACAGCAGACGGCAAGAGGTACGAAAGAGCGCTCAATCAGCGAGACGCCGACAGCGTCCGCAGTGACGCCTATTACGTGCGATGAATTCCTCTACAGTACTTACCTTGAGGTGATGCAAATGCTCTGGATTAAGGTAAGAATACAGGGTAAATTTGACCTCGTTCCATGCTGGCTAGTAAACACTGGTTTGAAAGTTGCGCAATTAACCTCATTGTTTCGAAAATCCAGGATTAATCACAAAAACCACTCCATCAATAGTCTACGATGTCTCAGCAAGTCGAAAAGAGCCAAACACTGAAGGTGATTGAGTGCAACCGCACGAAAATTTGAAACATAAACCTGAAAATGAGGAACTTACAACAACGTAAACGCCAACGCGACGAAGAGCAACGCGGAAAAGAAAAAAACGGTAAAGAAACGCGGAAAAACAACAAAATCAAAGAAACGACGACTAAAATATGGAGAAAGAGCGTAAACAGAGGACTCATCACCGTGGAGTTAGACGTTTGCTTGCTACGCGCCAAATCGATACGCAGCCTGCTCCGGGGCCCTCCCATTTCTGCTCCGGATACCTCCCATTTTCTGCTCCGGATACCTCCCATTTTCTGCTCCGGATACCTCCCATTTTCTGCTCCGGATACCTCCCATTTTCTGCTCCGGAGGCCTCCCATTTCTGCTCCGGACCCCTCCGATTTTCTCCGGCGCGGCTCTTCCATATCTGGCGGACTCGCGCCGGGCAAATTTCTCCAGCGCGAGTCCGCCAAATCTGGCAGAGTCGCGCCGGAGAAATGGCGTACCTTTGCAGCAGGGCCGGAGAAGCCTCCCACTTGCCTGCCAGTGGTGTCACCGCGACGGACCGCCCATTTGCCCCTCTCTCATTGGTCAACTGGGTCCGGCGCGACTCTGGCAGATTCGGACTGTCCGGCGGAGGGGTCCGGTCGATTGTCTGAGCTGGATTGCGCATCGCGACCTTAATGATACGTTTTGAGCGAAAATTGACCACTGCATATCAGTGCATTTGCACAAATGCATAAAAAAGCAGGCGATATTTTCACTCTCTGCGAACCGGGTGGTGCCAATTTAGAAAGTGTACAGCGATCTATTCAATCCATGCATGCTAGTAAATTGTCTAAAAAAGAGTACAACACCTCTTTTGCGCGGGTACGAAGACTTCGAAGAAGCATTTGGTGCAAATTGCAGAATTAGTATGCATGGCAAAGGTATGAACAAGGGATTCAAAAAATCAAAATGAACATCAGCGTCAACTTTCACCGAGTTGCGTCTGCGTAAAATGTTTGAACGGCTTTGCACAATACAAGAGTAGTGGTACAAGAGTTTGATCATCTAGTTGTATACTGGGCGCATTGCATAGATGTCACGATCAATTAATTAATTAAGTGGATAGTAGCAAAGTAGCTGTAATTTTGAACTATCATCGACTTCCATGGAGGCAATGTTTCTAAAAGATATCGTGATGTCATTTGTAATTTGATATAAATAATGTAAGCTGTCAGATATAAGGATGATCGGGCCCCATTTGAGGGAGTACATAACGCTAGATTATTGAACAGGTGTCCCAAAAAGATGTGCCTAGTGTTTGATTGTTGATAACTCTCTTGTCATTCAATTTTTCCAGAAGGTTTAGGCACCGTTTTGCAAAGTGAGGTTCATCTACAGTATGATGCAAATCATTAGACACTTTTCACTATTGTGGTATTACAGTGGAACTTTGCGGAGGGTCCTCGGGAACTGAAAGCGATTTTTGCCTTAGTAAGGAAAACCGAACAAGCCAAAACTCTTGTACTCGACTAGTCGAAGTCCCTGATCAAATAAACTAAATATGACACTTGCACTTCATTGTAATGCCTTTTCGTAGTTCGTCAGATGTGTGATAACACTATTGAGAGAACTCTAAAAACTGTTAAAAGTTGTCTAACCGAATTTACTCGCAATGAGATAGCAACTCAAAAAACCGCCAAGTGTTGCGCCTGCCAGCACGGTGCACAATCTCAATGTCGTACGCTTGTAAAGCCATTTGATACTTGGCGAAACGATTCACGAAGTCTGGTTCCCTCAAATATTTCAGCGGTGCATGGTCAACAATCAAAGTAGTGGAACAATTTGCGACTCATGGATAGAGGGTTTCCAGGCAGAAATTAAGGCCAAGGCTTCTAATCCCATGATCACATATCCTTTCGTGTTTTGTCAGTGGACGGCTGCAATGTACATTGGAAGTCTTAAGATTGACTGCAGTAAACATGCGCCAATACCAGTGGTTGATGCATCGGCATGAATTAGGTATGGCCGACCCAATGGAAGGACGTGCAGGATCCTCCAAAGGCTCGCCGCTTCTTCTCTAGGCGCACCCTTGGGATGTAGTTTTAACTTCGCGTCTACCTCGCACCTACGTCGCACCTATCTCGCACCTTCCTGCATTACTTCCCCTCCGGATAATGCCTTGTTCTCCTGGCATAATTAGAAAGGACAGCACATAAGCGACGATCAAATGATTCCAAGAAAAAAATTATGAAAATGTTGTGAAGAAAAGTGCTTCTAATCGTGTTCATTAAAGGTGTGGTAGGTAAGAAAAGGGTAAAAACTGATTATGTTTTCTTGAAGGCGAATGTTTTCTTGAAGGCGACAGGTTAAAGGCAGTGGATCGGCAAAATGGACCTTTATCAAATCTTGGAAGTGTTAGGTAGTAGACCCCCCCCCAAGTACACCGTAGCCTCAACCTACCCTTCAAATCATGCGCTATGTCCTGTAAAGAAGCTCCAAAACTTTATCAGCCCCGCTCACTTCCATTGAATGGGCGTTATTGGTGGAAATTTGATGCGGCTTTTCGGAACTTAGCGCATGCATTGGAGGATGGGGTTGAGGCTACGGTGTAGTTGGGAGGCCTAATGCTTAATACCAGCAAAATCTGACAGGGGTACATTTTGCCGATTCACTATTTTTGAAAACGCACAGCTTTGGAACACAGCTTGGAGTCATCTTATTTCGAATCTTAGCTGACAGTTTGAACTACGATTAATCTTATGAGCACTGACTCTTCCAAATGGGTATGATTTTCTAAGAATTTAGACTTGGAGCGCATTTGCCACTCATTATTTTTGTTTCCTTCCTTATTGCTAGTTTGTTCAAATTCCTCTTTTGTGCGCGTATTCTGTAAAAGAAAATGATCTTCAGAGCATCTAAATTGGTTAAACATTCAGTCAGCGTTTAATGCCTCTAATGTCACCTACCACGTGATCAATGCCCACGACAAGCACTTTTCTTGTCAGTCTGCTTGTTTTGATGTCTGTTTTCCATTTAATTTTTTTTTGAAATTTATTTACTCACTTATGTGCTGTCCTTTCTAATTATGCCAGGAGAACAAGGCATTATCCGGAGGGGAACTAATGCAGTAACGAGATAGGTGCGACGTAGGTGCTAGGTAGGCGCGAAGTGAAGGTTACCTCCCACGGGCACGCCTGGAGAAGAAGCGGCACGCCTTTGCAGGATCCTTATACGCCGCCGACCCAACGTAGGGGAAATAAAACTGGTGTTTCTATTGTAGCACAATTGAGACATAGAAAGGCCTGTTGATATTTCTTTGTCCTTGTGAATGCTGCATCTTCAGTTACAAGATTACTTACTGTCAATGCGGATCTGCGGAATAAACCTACAAAAATGCGAGACTGCTCCTAAAAAAAGTTTGAGCGCTTTAGTTTCTGTTGGGCGCGGGGCTTTGTCTGCGCTGTCTACTTTAGCAGGACTGTGGTATGTTTCTTCCTTACTTATCAGAACACCCAAATACTGTACTTTGAGTCGAAAAGAGTGAGCGACTCTTTTGCGTTAGATTCATTCCAAAGTTTTGGATACAAGAGAATACTTCTT